TAAAAATTTCCAAACGATTTTTTTTTTCAAATAATCTAAATCCTAATAAAGTGTTTGAAGCGGAAGGAGTATGTCATTCTAATGGAGATGAGCTCTCATATTTACCAAAAACCACCATAAATTGATCGAGTCTAAGTGTGTTGCTTAGTATCAGTGGTATCATTCAAACAAATTGAAGACGAAACGAATAGGGATGACACTTTAGTGGAGGTGGCTGATTATGCCACTAGTGGTTGGCCGTATCCTAAGTATATGAACGCTCAACTCAAACCATTCTTTAAGAATCATATTAGCTCGGCTGATTTTTGGTCATGCGTTGTATGTAACCACCGAGTGGTGGTTCTAAATAAGTAACATAAAAGGGTCCTGGATTCACTACATTAGTCACATCCTGAAATGCATCGCTGTAAGGATTAGGTATAAATATTAACAGCTCCTTACATCGCGCGACGTTTTATACAGAAACTAAGAAGGTGTGTTGTAATAAGTGGTAGAGACAACGAGCAATTTCGTTCGCTAAGTTTCGCCAAAATTAGCACAGTAATTATTTCAATTATTCTATCTCCTCTTGTTCTTGGCATTAAACTAATCATCTTTAGACTCTATTATTCAAACTAAAATATTCATTTTTTAATAAATTTCAATTTTAATAAAATACAATAATATTGTTAGGTGCAAAAACTTCAGTAGTATCTGATTGATCGCTTTTTTACTACAGCGAATATAGCAATGTAACTTGTTACAATGGCGTGCGACGCCCAAAATGTGTACTCGTTTTATTATTTTATTTTCTCGTGTTTCCTAACAATAATGTCAAATATAATACATAAAAGAAAATGGAAACAAATGGGTTAATTTATTTTTAATTTCCTGCAACTGGACCCATCAGAGTATTTATTATCACGAAAATATTGTTTACTCCCAATACGGGCATTTATTTCAATATAATTTAAATTTATTGTTACACGTGATGTTATATTACTTAATAACATGCCAGTATATCCTAATAATAATAGTGCAATGGTATTTGTTTTATTTTTTGTGATTATTAAAAAGGTAATATAAATTTATTGTAATCAACATTTCACGACTGTTCTTTCACCATATAACGACTGCCAGCAGTACTATCCACATACTTATCACTTAAGAAAATAGCACTTACCGAAATTATTATAGAAATTACTATAGAAACCTATTAGTATTAAAGTCATAAATCGTTTTTTTTTTTTCATTATGAGTTAAATTTTAAATTCAAATAATTGAATTTATTTATATAAATATTGTTTTAGATTCTAAGCGAAGTGAGAAATGTATTGGTTTTACATTAATGTTAATTTTGTATTTATTTTTTTTTTATCTATTTTATCTATCAACTTTTTACCAGCAATTTTGCTCCGATTTACAAGGATAGCGCTTTTTCTGAAAGGAAATCTGACTAGGGTGGTACTTTGGAGGAATCATTCTTTGATTTTCTCAGGAGTTTTTCTAATAAATGGGAAAATAGATAAAATATTAAATAAATATTATTAAAGAAAATGTATAATGCATATATTTAATTATTTTAGTATAATTTGAAATAGGTATACTTATATTATTGAAAAAACAAAAATATTAACCAAATTTCGCTCAGAATCATTTTTCGTTAGTCGTGGTTAATCATTGCGTACAGATGTACATTAAATTTCCCTTCTACCTTCCCAACTTCTCATCTACAACAGTTGCCAATCCACATGTGAAGAATGTTCGTCTTATTTTTAATACTTTTTTTTTTATATTCCAGAGGCATTACATTCTTCCTCGAAAACATAGTTTTTTTTTTTAAAAAAAAAAACGGCACCACTAATATTGAATATCACCCAACCATAGGCAGTTTACGTCATTCATATAAATTATGAGAGATAAAAATGATATTTTTTTTATAATACAGACTGCTTGGTATGAATTTCGGTTCAATAGTAAATGTTATTAGTAAAGTACCCGGTTAGACAATTAATTAATTTTTTTTTTTTACGAAGTTTCCCGATAAATATGTGATCTATAACATTGGAGGGGGAAACGAATGACAGTGATATAAATAATACATATTATTCATATTGATTGATGTGTAACGACTATAGTAATCAAAAACACCAAACAATTATTTAAAACGTCAGTATACACATTTAAACGAAATCATGTGACATTATATTTTATGCTAAACTTTTTAGATGATTTCGATATCTGTTTATCTAGCAAATACTTTTTTAACCTCATTAACCGAGAAAAAAACTCGAAAATTCAAACAAAACAACTATTATGCCATGTGTTTTTGTATGATTATGAGACGCATACTTACAATTCTTTCAGTATGCCTTTTATGTATTTTAGTTGAACATTTCATAAACTTTTAACTACTACAAAACGTTTGTTTGTGTTTTTAATCAATTTTATCAAAAGTTTGAAATTTTAACACTAATATTAATATTATGATATTTTTAATGTTTTTATAATGAAGATATAATAAAAAAATATTAATAAAGTTGATGGTTCGGGTGTGTCTTTACTACTTAAAATATTATGACATGCCTATCCTATATATTAGAGTACAGTAACATAATGGCAAATTCTTAATGAGATAAAGGTTATGTAAATATTAGAAAATGGTAACCTTGGATTTAAATTTTTTTTCTATACAAAACTTTACTTTGTAATATAATTGAAATATTATAGGAAAATGTACATTATTGATAATATTTTATCCTGTATTTGTTGAAACTATAAAATACGTTGATTAAAATTCTATTTCTAAAAAATTAATAAGTATACTACTTTTTTATCAATATTTATTCCAAAATTCATAAATTGTATACATCGCAGATATGAAACAATGCCAATAGTTATTGGAGTGGTTTCAAACATTAGTAAGGATAATAAAAAAAGAAAGAAGAAAATAAATAATGCACCCATAAATAAGTAGTGAATAATATTAACAAACTATACCTACTTTATATCCTGTAAACTAGCTCGCCATAAGGGGCAAATCGTGTACTATTTTACAATAATTAATACAGTATTATTGTTAGATACACAAATTCTCAGTATTTAAATCTTTATAAACTCATAAGCCATTGTCTCTATATTTCTGTTTTAATACACTATATTTATTACCACCAGAAATAATTAGTTTTTTTTTTCTTTAACATTTTTAGTATAAACTATTCAGAATATTATTATATTCATTGTAAACCACGAAACAATGATTCGTATTGTTTTGTAATTATTGAGGGCGTTGGGGCATATTCATTAACAATATTTATAACAAAAGTAGATTTTTTTTTGTGGGTCAAAAGCTGCTTTATATATAGTATTTGATTAACGAAAAGTGATAAAATGTTTGGTATGATGTATTCCTATTATTTTATTCGAAAATAATTTTTTTATTAAATTTGTTTACCTATTATCGTTATTCGTTATTAATCTGGCTTTTTAGACGCATATATTTGTGATTTCGTGAACATTATTTTGTAAATTTATATTTTCATTTGTTTACTCGTATAATATATTTTAAATTTTAACAATGATGCGAATACACCGTTAATAACTGATATTTAAAACTGATTAACTTTAAGTATATCAATATCGTTCAATATTTCAACTATTATAATCCAAATATCCTGTTACCTCTTCGGGTTATTATTTTTTAGGGTTTGCAGGCTCTTTTAAAAACTAAAAAAGAAATTCTACTTAAAAATTCATTGTAATAATATCACTGTTATATAGAGCTATAAACGGAGCTATAGAGGTTAAATTACCGGTCTAATAGAATACAAAAATGGCATCTATAGGTTATATTACCCAAAACTAAAATAGTAGGTATATTATATGTATAGACGTTAATATCGCAACTAGGTACAATTGTATTGACGGATAAATGCAAAAATTACAGCTGATAAAAATTCTCTACCACTCTCTAATCTCTACAGCATAGAGACTATACTATTAAATATTGTTCTCTCTAACTGCAAAATTTAAATTATTATTATATGTAGATAATAAGTCTTATTCCGTATAATCCACGCGTTTTTGGACAAATAATATTCATTATATTTGATAAGGTACACATTTTAAAATGAAAATATATATAGTTAGGTGTTTAATATTTTACTATGATGTATAAGAAATAAGTGGTGGCGAATATTGTTGTACTAAATACTGAATACTATGCACGCACAAATATATGCTTAATGTTTATATAAATATAAGAAAAAAATACAAGTACAAATTGTACATAATATTTCTAGAAAGATTTAGAAAGATTTAGTTGACCAAAAGTATTTCGGGTAAAAACCACGCAATGTCACGTAACTTAAGATTGTCTAGTTTTAGACGGCTATAATGCATTTTAACTTTTATGTAGAGAGTGATCAACATAACGTAAGACGCTCATTATTTGTGAAAATATTAACTTAAAAGTGAAATATCTTATCGACGGTGCAATGGAAACTAAGAATTTCAACAAAATACATATTGAAACTTTAACTTCGTCTATTTATGGAATTCTGAAATGCTATTTCAAAATCAAAAATTTCATCTCTATAACTAAGGTTGACAAAATATAATGCCAATGTAACTGTTTGTTTCTTCAATATTCTAAAAAAACCAAAATAGAAAAAAGTTCATACTTTTCGAGATAACAACTATCTTACGTTATGTTTACCACTCTGTATACTTTCTTGAACATATTTCTATAATAAAAAAATATCGTTTTAAACTAGTTTAAAAATATCAAATGAAGGTTGTTGTTAGTTTTTGCACAGTGTGTCATATTATAGCTCAAGCAATATTATCAGTTACTTATTATAATTGCGTGTTTTTTATTATAATTATTTAATGTAATTTGTTTACCAATGCATTAAAATGTTATTTTTTTAAAAAAAAATACTTTAGAAGTAGGTACCCACCTATTATTTAATGATAAAAACCGTACAATGTACATATTAATATTAAATTCCCCCACTAATTATCACTTTATTGCGGCTGTCCCGCGTAATGGAATCTATATAAATTCTATAAATGATAGCCTTCTGTTACTGGGTTATCGTAGTATTATAAATCGTACCGACGTTAAATTTTATTTAAATCTTTTGTTTAGTATTTTGTTATACCAGTGCACACCGTATAAACCGAAAAGCAATGTCGTTTTCCGCGGTAACTTGTGCAGCGGTGGCGGTTGTCGGATTGATTTTCGCGACCGTGGCGAACACGGAAGAAGTCGACAATTTTCGCATGTGTCGAAGTGAGTTAACCTACCTGCCACCCATACGGCTGTTTACGTTTTTGTTCTTTTTAGGTATGTACATTGTTCTGTTTTGTTTTTTTTTTCCAGACACGCACTGTGAAGTGTTCGATGTGTTCGTCAATCCGTGCCCCGAAGCTTTAGATTCTAAACCATGCGAATTACCTCAAGGCACAAACGCGTCAATAGAATTTAAATACATACCCAGTACGTACCTACATGCATACATACCTACCTACAAATATACGTTATATGTTATTTAAACAGTCGTATATATTATAATAATAGTATGATAATAATAATAGGAAAAGCGAATAGGTTACCTGTACCACATTATAATACATGGTATTATATTATTAATATATGTGTACGCTGTGCGACCAGGAAACGCGAAACGTACGGTTGATCACCGAAATCAACGGTGCATTCACTATAATATTATATTATTATGTGCATTATGCAGTACTATATTATATGCAGACACATAAACAAAGCAAATGATGACCCAAACATAGGTTTTCCTTTTTTTTCTTTTTAGATTTTGAGGCACAGTAGTTATTTTAAAAACACTGTATTTATAAGATAAGATATTATGTTTTTTCCCATTTCTTCGATTAGTGTAAATGTTCCGATTTCTTCATGCCATACCTTAATAGATTTTGAAATTCTGCGGGTTACCTGGGTAACAAAAAAAAAATACACGGTTAAATACTATGTAACGTTATACCTGTATATCTAAACAGGATCGTTTTTTGATTGCAATAACTATATAGTATATAAACTAAATCAATCTTCTAAACTTCCCATTTAAAACAGTAGGTTATTTTTAATTAATCGATTGTATTACAAAGCAAACAAGTTACTAGAGCTGTGATCCGAAGAACGTCACAGTTTTGATTTGTAAAAAACAAAGTTACCCTTCGTGTTCATGGGAATCCGTTTTATTTGATATTTATACATTTTCAAGTATCTACCTGATAATACATTTATAATTAAAATTTAAGAAAAACGACGTTAAACCATTAGAAAAGCTATAACGACAATCTTATAAGTATATATTCAATATTAAGTAGGTGTTTAATCTTCGGGATTATATTTAATTAATAGATGAAAGACTTCAATCAAAAAAGAAATTACTTGCAGCTATTAAGTATTAATCTCGAGTACATATTTATTTGTAATAATATTATTTTAAAAAACTATATAATTATCATTATCTAATTAACTAATTAAGTATACTTATTATACATTCTTTAAACTGTTGAAAAAAATTATTAATAATACTCCTAACTATTACGTTATATTTTTGGTATTTTAGATAAAATATAAGTATGGGGTTTTGATTTTGATTTATTTAATTATTAAAACAAACCAAGAATAGACAAGTGAACGGCAAATAGTAACAAGAAAATAAAACACGGTGTAAAAATTTAATCTAAACAACAAATTTTAATAATATAATAGATTGATAAAAAAATAAATGAACAATATTTTACAAAATATAGATACGTAGGTAACTACTCGAAAATGATAATGTTTTATCTCTGTTATAACAACTATAATAAGAATAAGAAAATAAATAAATATAGGTAATATGTACTTATTAATTATTTATTTACCTGCCTGCGTAATTTGTTTAAATAATTACTTCACCTGTTGACATTTCTTATCGAATAAGATATAAACTACCTACTAAAAAATAATGTCATTTTAGTAATGATATAGCAATTAATTTATAATGGTCATTAATTAATAAAATGTTCATTTAAGTTATTCACTTGGCGTCTCAAACGTAATATTTTCGGAAAGCAAAGAGCACGTAATACTGCTCAGATTAGATTAGATGTTTAATAATTTAATCGAATAGATTTTATTCTGGATTACAAATTATTTAGCACCTATATCATAGTACATGATAAACGAATAATTTAATTTGTTCCACGAGTTTATGTTTTCTAATTTAGTTTCAGAATTTTAAACTTAAAATGTATGTTTATGATACAGAATTCATGCGGACATTTATTTTAGGTTTTGAGCGATGCTAGGAATGTACTGGTTTTTTCTATGCTGTGTTTTAAAATTCATATTTTATTTTGTGTCCTTACACGTTTTTTCTACCAGAAATTTTACTTCAATCAAAAACGTTGATAGGAACTATCTTTTAGTATGTTTAATTTAGTTAATCCATTGAGGAGAGAATTTTGTATTGCCTTTGTAATTTTCTTAACGAGTGGGTAAAACTGAAAATTTGTAATTGTCAAAATCGTTTTTCTTATCGGTTTGTCGTCAAACACGTACTGGCTCATACCGAGTATCGGGAATTTTTCGGTGAACCCTTTTCGTTTCGGTTCTTTCCACTCCTATTCCCTCAAATTACCTAATTTAAATTTGTTATTTCCTAGGTACTTAACAATTTTTATCATTCGTGTTCAAAAGTGGACCCCGTCAAATCGGATGAATGTCCTACACGAGACCCATCGGGTAAAAAAATAGGTATGTTAGTTCTTATACAATGGAAAAAATATTTATTTAAGTTCCTACACGGTAAAAAAAGTACGTTTATGTTAGATCCTACATTGTAAAAAAAAAGATACAATATATAAATTCCCTAGACCTATTATGTTATTATTATAAAAAATAAAAACTATTATATTATAAAAAATATGTTAAATGTGTTCAAACGGATAAATACGTAATTAAAAAAAAAAGTATTATTTGATATTTTATGCGGTTTATTTCTGAATCTTAAATACTAAACATAATAGTATAAATCAATTATTTTTGTAATATATTCAAAAAAAATTTTCTTTTATGTAATTTCCTTTTTCAGCGTATGTTGTATATATTTTTGTTTTTGAATTGTTTTTGTGGTTCTTATGTATACGTATTTACTTGAAAAAGCTTTAGTAATAATTTTAAAAATATTTGTATGTTGTTGATAAACATTTTAATATTCCAATTATCAAATCCTAATGAAATCTTTCACACGAGTTCGTTATTTGTATTCTTTCAGAATATCACTGCACCCAAATTTTCATCATCAAATCGTATATAATCTATTTGTATACCTGTTGTCTATTTATTTATTTAATATCTCAATTTTATTTGTTATGCTCAGTATTGTAAGTTAGGTTAGTTTAGTCGATGTATGCAAAATAAATGAATAATCTAATCAATACGATGTAATGTAGGAATAACAGATAATTTTTTCCATTGTGTGAAAATACGCATCTTTTTTTACGGTGTTGAAACTTACGCATCTCATTTTTATATTCAAGTAAGAACTTATACAATATATCATTTATAGGAATTAACGTATTTAATTGTTTACCTACTATTCTCGTGGAGGTACTTATTTCCCATTTAATCATTTCACAGTATAAAAATAAAACCTAGCGCGTGTCAATTTATCGTTGAGTACAGATATAAATTAAATTAGTCAGTGTATTATGTACTCCCTTCCAACTTCTCTCCTAAAACAGTGGCACACCCATCAACATTAATCAGTCTTTTCTTATTATTATTATTTAATGTCATCCGCGCGCCCAAATGACCGTGTCCATTTGTTCCTTTTTGTGACATTTATCTAATAACACCATTATTGAATAAAATATCTAACTTAACAAATTAAATTTTAGATTCCGAGTGTAGGAAAGTTTTACAACGAAGTGTTTTTTTTTTGGAAAATATTTTTATCATCAGTTAATATAGTCCAATTATTTCATGTTATACCTTAAGTGATAAAGATTTTTTTTATTGTAATGATTTATCGTTGTAGTTGGTAAAAATGATACAATATATCAACTAAATCAGCCTTTAAATATTATCCTGTTATCCCTATATATATTATACCTTCCAAACTTACTATTTATAATAGTAAGTACTCGCGGTGTGAAGTATTTTAATGTTGAGTTTTTTGATATTTTAATATTCGATGTAGTGCATGGTGGTTCTTTAAACACATATAGAAACGACAGTATTATACCTAAATGATATTATATGGATAATAAATATACTTTCATTCTATACTTGTTTTAATACGTCAAGTAAAATATGGTTCAAATATTAATTAATTTGTTGATTTTTAAACATGAGTTTATAACATCTTTTATCTCCATTGTGTTTACGGTTGTTGATTTGGTTGACACGGAGATGTATATAATTATTCTTAACTTCTTTCCTACGGATGATAAAAATACGTCATTATACTCTTTATTAATGTAGACAAAATGTATAAATTAATTTGTTTCATTTGTTGGGACGTGCGTACGTATTGGTTGTAGATATTTGCATGAACATGTATACGTAGGAGTAAATCGAATTAGCTTAAACGTATTACATATTATAATAATTACACAATATGAATAAATTAGTATTTTAGAAAAATAATAACGTAATTTACTTTATTAATTTTTCTGTTAAATCAACATAATCATACAGGTAGGTAGACGTAGTACATTAATAATGATAGTATTAAAATAAACTGTATAGATAATGAGATAATTGCAAATATTATTATTCTGATTACGTTATGGGTTCATAATGCCTGCGATTATCCTGATAAATAATAATTATAATACGATTATTTATTATTAGTATAATAATCAGTGTATACGGGTTGAAAAAAAATAATCGATCGTTTATTAATCAATTATTGTTTACTATAATTAATTAATAAAATAATAAACCAACAATCAAAATATCTAATACGGTGAATATTATGAATAACCTCATTGAAATTTATATTAATCATTTGTTCTTTAATATGTATGTTTTAATTTTAAATAATAGGAAATGTAGTAAAGATTATATGTGTAAAGGAACATGTATAAAAAGAATCCGTAAAAATTGAATCATATTTTTAGTTCAACAAATAGACAATCATTAATTGAGTTGTATCGGGAGTTTCATTTTTATTGAGTATTCAGTTTTATTAGTAGTAAACTCTGTAATAAAATTGTTAGAGTTAACAAAAGTGCTTGAACATTTAACACGAGATTCATTAAGAATCTAATTTTGTGATCAAAAAAAAAAATTGTGTTTAATGTAGAATTTTTTTTATAAAGGAATTTTAAAATATCAAATTTTGTTGAAAAATATTGAGTAAAAATTGTATGGAACAATTAATCTAATCTTTTTTTTTTTTTTTTTTTTTCTGAACATATGCATATTGTTTATTTAAGAACGATGGTGAAGTGAGAATTAAGTGGAGTTTTGACTAAGTTTAGAAATTATAGCTTTTTGAAGTTCTGATGCTATGCGGATATTATATGTTATGTTATATAACTTATAATGTCTTACTATATTGTAGTAACTATTACATAGTACATACATATATATATAGTAGTAACTAAATTGTTGTAACTATATTGCCCTTCTTAAAGCATATTTGCCGTGATGTAATGGTTATTTAAGCCTATTATCATCCAAAGGATTCCGAATTCAAACTCGGGTTTTGAACAAAGTGCATTTTTTTCCCCTTTACCTAAACAAAGAAAAAACAAATACATTTGGCTGTACCTAAAAATCCAAGCCATCGCTCACTCGGACTGTTAATCGCGAAATACCCCTAGATTTATTGTGCAAATTTGTCTACCAGAAATCTTGCTCCGTTTATCTAATGTAGCTTATTTTCTGAAAGGTAATTTTATCTCCACGGTAATTCAGGAAAGTCAATTTTTGATTTTTGAGGGGCTTTCATAAAATCTAGGAAAAACCGCGATAAAATGTTAGAAAAATGTTACATGTACCAAATATATTAGTAAAATATATTGTGGAATTTTTTTTCTGTAAACAATTTTTCCACCAACAATTTCGCTTCGATTTAAAATAATAGCACTTTTTCTTAAAGAAATTCGACTAGAAAGGTATTTTAGGGAGGTCATTTTTCGATTTTCCCAAGAGTTTTCCTAGCAAATGTGAAAAAACGGAAAAACATGTGAAAACCGGAAAAAACGGGAAACTCTGTATAGTAAATTGTTTAATACTTTAAACAAATATTCTTGAAGAAAATATTTAATGCCTATTTAATTATTTTACCAAAATATAATGTAATATTGTTGACAGAGCATCACTATCAACTGAACTGCGCTCAGAAACGTTTTTTCGCTAGCAATGGTTTATACTTACAGATATACATTAACTTACCTATAACAGTGACTGCACCGGTCTGCATTATCCTAGGACGTTTGTTATTTTTTATCACGCATTTTATGCAATTTAACACATAGAACGGTTATTACTCTGAGTCTCTGATATATGATCAAAAACATAATGCCGTAAACCAGATTTTCATAGTGGAAAATTACTTACTAGTGAATATATTCACTGCACCGAAAATGATATCCAGACCTGTTCTGACTATCAAGCTAAATAAAAAAAACATCCAATAGGAAGACCACGTCGATGTTGGACGGACCGAGTAAAATATAAGCACTTAAACGATTCACAAGAAATAGCAAGAATTGAGGACGCAGAAGATCGGGAGTTAGATTTTTTACGAAAGCTGCGAAAGACTTAAATGACACTATTGTAAAGTAAAACAACTATATTAAGGGGTGTGGAAGCGGTGATTTTTCGCATTTATTCTATCGCACGCGTAATATAGGAATTTAGACGCATTTTCATTTCAATGTGCCGATTGATCTAATGAAGCGATAAGAATTCTGTAAACGAATTTGATTTGTCATCACGTTCATTTGAACGGTCTCAAGTATAGAGAGTAAGTTAATCTCAAGTAGACTTGACGACAAATTCAAATCTGTTTTCATAATTCGTATCGCTTCACTAGATCAATCGGTTGAAATCGGAATGAAAACACGTCTAAATTCCTGTAAGTGGTGCGCATGATAGATAAAGGCGAAAAATCACCGCATTCAATCCTCTTAACGCAATTAATGGCTCAACTTAACATAGGTACTTATATATACATATATAGGACGACTATTTAAATATAATAATAAACAATATTTGCAAATTTGATGCAGAAGTACTGAATTAACATACAATATTAATTATAAAACTATTATTTGGAAACAGAGTTTTAAATTAAAAATTATTATTGTCGTTTAACAAAATATAATAGCGTTCGCGTATGACAAGAAGAAGATAAAAAACTGAAAAATATTATACACTGATTACTGACACGGTTTTCATTGAATAGCCGTTTGAATAGAAAACATACTTTGCGTTAATAGAATTCGGTTGTATAATGACTAATGCTGCGTGTACATCCGTCGGCATATTTCACCGCGATATCCCCGGATGCGAATAAAATTGCTGCAAGGAATTCGGATTGGGTTTGTTGTTTGTCGAGAAATACATACGCGAAACTTTAAACCCATACTTCCCGTGCAGCAAACTACAAACGTACATCATTACCGGCCGACTATACAATTAAAAATACAGCTATAGAACAGCTATAGCGTACAGCTCGAATAGAAAACAAATTGTTCGAGCTGGATTTCAATATAATATGATATAATAACATAATATTATATTGTACGTGTTGCGTCTAGGTATCGTTAATGAAATAAAAAAAAAAAAATTTCAAATTAAATCCCCCCAGTAAAACTAATATATTGTCGAAACATATAAACCAACACGAGGTATAAGTATACATGTATAATGAAAACTGAATACATTGAAAACTGATAATATTATGGAGGTTGATATTTTATAATTACTAAAAGATCAACAATTATCAAATAGAAATAAAATCGTTGTTCCGTTAAAGTCGTCCAATATTGATTAATATTCTTGAAGTGAATATATTTTATTTATTCAATTTGTATTATTATCATTTGTTTAAATAACATTTTCGAGTAAATTCGATAAACTTTAATTTATTTGAATATTATAGTAGAGCTATAAATAAGAGATAAACAATATTATTATAATAGCTCTACTATAGAGCTTAAGAATAGTCGTCTAAACAATATTTTTATAATACAGTGAAAATTCTCTATTTCTGAACTTTTACTTACCTAAACCTATATAATATTTTTCATTGTATATAATATAATATTAAAATAACTGATCGATAGTTTTCATTATTGTGAAAATATATTTTAGCACTCGCCGAAGTTCCTGAAAAATGGGAAATGATCGGACAGATGATCGGTTTTATACACGATCCGAATAATTACAAGTATACTGTGATTTTTATGTTCCTATATGTATCATCAAATAACGTTTACGTAAACAACAAATAGTTTACAAAACGAGTATACTTAGGTATATAATATTAAATTATAAGAAAAAAATAATTCAAATATTATAGGTTATAGGTTCAGTAAACGCGTGATTTCATAAACCCCATCCGCCTATCTTATACCTATTTAATAAATATTTTCACCAAGTATTATACCGATTTTCACCACTTACTTATACTTACTCGTACTTAGTTGTAACGATTTTTAGATCCCAACCACCTTTATTTTTGTTTGCGTGAAAAAAAAAACACAATTGTTGTATATTTATACACGTTTACATAATTTCTGTTAATTTTCCAATCAATTCGAACGAAAATTATTTTTGAAATTATTATTGTCCGATGGGTTATACGGGACCGTTGCTAGCGCGTTTTGTGTTCCAAAAACAAACTTGGTGAAAAATGTCTCACGCATCATAGAGTAGTCCGATTTTGATGATTTTTTTTTTTTTTTTTGTTGTTGAAAAGAGGAAAACACTGAATTTCTTTATTAACTTTATAATACGTCTTTAAAAAGTATAAATTTTAAACTTCTATTACCACATAGTTTTACACAGTTATTTGAAATCAAATGAAAAATCGTAGTTCAATGCGGTCAATGCAGTTCTATGCTATAGAATATAATTGTTTACCTATTTAAAACTATTTGCAAAAAAAAAAAAATGTAAGAAAATATTTTTACAGTGATACTCATTAGTTTTCTCTATTCCCGCGAAGTCATTTTTGTGCGTAAAAACGGCCGTGCTTATTCCCCCTAAACGGTCGTCGAGCAGTAGATTTGTCTTGTGGTCTTTGGGGTAATCATTAAAATCTTGGATATAATGTTGAATAATTTCTAAAAATGCCCTTAAATCTCGTACTTAGTTATTCTAACTGCACAATTTTTTAATCAAATATGTATGTACCTAAACGTATACAGTAAAACACTGTAATTATTATAATGTTATGATATGTGTGTCCATATCTAGCTGTGTTTAAAATATAATATTATGATACTAATACGTAATTTTCGCAGAATGGGGTTCGAGTCAGCCGGTGACCAGACTGTACGCCGAGACGCTCGTGATGGATTTGCCTTTCTTGGGCATGGATACGAACGCGTGTCTATACACCGAGTGTCCAATGGTGGCCCAGGCTACGCAAATTTATAACTATAATTTGTACATATCCGAATCCTATCCCAAAGGCGGTTACACGGTGAAGGTGAAGATGTGGAATGGCGAATCAAATGCCAAGAGCAGTGATGAATGTTGCTTCAAAATCGACATAGCAATCGTTTGACGGAAATCGAAACTTCGACACCATCAGCAGTATACATACATACTCACTATACATAATTTCTAATATTAAATAATGTCTACGCGCACATATATTATAATAATAATCCATGCATAATAATATTATATTATAAATACTGTTATCATTGTAATATTTTTATTTAACGTTTAACAGAACATTTTTTTTTTTTTTTTTGCTTGTGTAAAAAAAAAAAAAAAAAAAATGAAACGTACTGCGTCGTCTATGATGATGTCTGTTTGCGGGCAATATTATACACCTATCTCCTAGTACCTTATAGTGATCTCACCGTACACACACACAAAGGTGAATCGCATCTGCATTAATAATAATACACGGCGTAGTGGTGGCGGCAAACTGTTCGTCGCGGAAGATAATAATAAATAATTACCTTTTAAACAATTGATTTTTAACGGTCCGCGGAGGAAAGTTTAATGATCCTTTGAAAGACGCACTCTGGGTGTCCACAATCGAGTATAATAACAACGATTAATTAAAATACGCTGACGAACGATGGGCATGCTGCAAGTATGGGTAGGTAGGTATAATAACGTATTTGGGTCGTTGTATATAAGGCGGAATCGTCCTCCGGAAATGATCAAATGTTTCCGCGCTGTAGACGGTTGACGAGCACATCCGAAGCTCTAATAATAATAATTATAATATTATAAACGCCGTTACTATGTTACGTGCCAATAAATTTACCCTACTGTTGGCGGCCATTGTGGTGTGTGCGGCGTGCAATTGTGTGGCCGGTATAAAATTGGACGAGCACAGGAACGAAAAGAGTAAGTACCTAACACAATCTAACTTGCCTAATAATATTCCGGATCGTTTGGCGATATTGCAGTTGTCCGCGCATTTTTCGGTTTGACCTAATATTGATACCTGTGTACACTAAACATTTCTCGAATTCCGACAACGAATTTGCCGACTTCCGAAAATATGTTTATTTGTTTTTTGATCAATTTTTAAGTATGCAACAGTTTTCACATTTTTCTGGTACAATATTTGTTATAATCAACTTATGAGATTTTTTCGCGATAAATTCTCCCCCCCCCCAAAAAAAAAAAAAAAAAAAAAAAAAAAAATTTTAGAAATAAATACATTTTTTATCGACTTAAGTTTTATATTACCATCGAATCGCCGACTCGGCAAGTTTTAATTTTCGAGTTGGAGGCTTTACACCGCCCCTCCTAACACCACCCTTGTACCTATACGTTGAAATCACCGTATAGGTACCTACAAACGAACAAATTTTTGTTTTTTGCTTTTAAAATATTATGCGAATTATACGATTATTTTTTTGTTTAAAGCATCGTTTTATATACGCACCTCTTTAATGTAACAATTTCCAATAACAACCGAGTAACAAAATTACAATCATCGTCCAAATGATAATATGAGACACAACCGCGTAACGGTATAATTTCTACAATAAATCGTCATAATAATGATAATATTATCGAACTATACCTGCAGTAAATAATACCACTGTAATAATATTATAAGGATATAGTGAACAGGTTTTCGTGCGATAGAACTTCTACACGCGCAAAACACTTGTTGTTTACTTGAAAATACAATATCGTTACTATTATTATTAGTAAAAAAAAAAGAAATAAAATAAAAAATCCACACGATAATTGTTTTTTTAAATTTTAAATCGTGAATTTTCTTAAAAAACAAATTAAAAAAATTATAAACAGGTTAATCGCGTTGATAGTTGAATATTATAGTAATATTACGTTAAAAAAAACCACTGTAGCCGTGAAGATTCTAAATAGGAAAATTGTTTTTCCCCCGACCACAAAATTCCGCTATACTCTATTACTAACTCAGTCTATTGTCATCTATTCCGAATATTCAATTAATTATCTGAAGAAAAAATAATAACAAAATAGGAAAATAAATTCGAATACAATATATGCGTAATGTACCTAAACAAAATTCAAACGCGAAATATAATAATATAGTTAAAAAAGAAATAGAAATAGAGTTATGTATAATATACATAACTATATTATTCTTTTGTGAATGTTTTTTTAAAAAAATTGTTCGTTGATAAAACACGCAGCGTTTGTACACGATTATTTTACAAATAATATCGCTTTAGATAAAATAGTGTTGTTTTATTCATAAATTTTTGGCACGTGCTATTTGCGTATTCTATTGGAACAGAGAAATTGAACCATTCGGTTGAAAAACCGCGTTCCTTTAATATCGTTCTATAAAAATATTATGTATATTACGTCTCATCGATATAAACGCTATGAGAATTAAAAATATATTATACCTAGACGTTGTTATATGAAACGTCAGCGTCAGAATGTACAGTGATTTTCGGTAACCGATTTTTACTTATAACAATGACTTCGTAAAATATTCTCTAGAATAATAAATCGAACCATTATGTATACATATATGTGTAATGGTTTTTTACAGTAATCTATTGAACATAATATATAGTCATACTTTATAATTGTTTAGACGCGATATTCCGCGTTCTCCGTTTTCTAAAATTGTACGCGTTATTAAATTTTGTTTTCATTCCGGTAAAATATAATACGACAAATCGAATTAAACATAATATTATATATTATGATATGGTTCGTATATTCGGTATGTTAATATAAACACTAAAGCCGGGTTTACACGTCAAACATTTTTAAACCATTCCTCAAGTTCCTCACTCCTCGAGTTATACGTTATATTTATGTCGATATAATAAATAATATTAACTGACACATTTGATAGTTTGTACGGTATTTATAAAGAACTAAATAAATAGGATTTCATGATTTGAAAACCTGTTTTTAATAACCATAAAAGGAAAAAAACAATATTCACCGGTTGTAATTAAACCTAACAAAATTATAGAAGTACGAAAATCATTAAACCGAAAACAACACATACGAAAAACTTTCTTCTTATTTCTCCGCGCCTCTCTGTCCCTACAAACAAATGGGCTCGACTACTCTTGTTTTTCGGCATCCACAACCCGCGTCCTAATGAACAATTCTACCCAATTTGTCTTTCATCTATAGATGCCTCTTCTCGAGCTTTTCTTTATACCTAACTCAAATCCGGACTTTCCGATCCTTCTCTCGTCGTGTCCAATCCATTTTCTCTCATTTTAACTGATATAATAATTGTTGAACATTTCTTTTTTTCGATTAGATTAGATTTTTGTTTAAACAAACGGTAGGTACTACGGCGTTTCGTCGTTCCGAACAGACGTTCACAGATACGTTTCCGCATCATTACTATTTGTGTACAATACAAACGCTATATAATTTCAGACCTGTTATATCAGAATCTATTTAAACCAGATCAGTTGGGCAAGACGAGCAGCGGTGCTGCTGCGTCCGCTCGGGCCACGTCTAGGCCGGCGCAGGGCGACGGCACACCTCCGGGACCGATGGCCAAGCACGCCAATAACAAGTCGACGGTGTCTACGGATACCGAAGAGATGTCTAAGACTAGAGCCGTGGTGGCGGACGTGAGTGGCGCGAAGATATCGGCCAACGAGAAACGAGCGGAGAAGTGCAAGGAAAAATGTCCGGCCAACATCAAAGAGTGTTGCCGGAACGCTATTGCGGGTACGCGACCATATACCATAATATTATGAAATTTAGAAATAATTATTATAACCCGGATGCAATATAATATTAGATAGTATGATACCTTCAACGCTATTCGGCGAGTTACCAAAAGCCTCTTGTGGTCTTTTAGAATTGACCACCTGTCACCATGATCGAAATTAGAGGAAAACAATTTGTTTACGCTTCTTATAAAACATTCAAAAATAGAGACTGTACGCGTACTTGATAAATTATTTTCCGACTTTTCAGAAATCTTAAAAATACTACGCTTTTAGAGGGGAGACGTGAAAACGAACGAACAGCAGGGGCACAATCGCGGATAAAAAGGGTAATTTCCTAGGGTAGTAAAATATACATGATATTTTTAGGTGACAATTTTGAAAAAGTAATATTAAAATACTAAAACTAAAGAAAATGTTTAAGTATGGATGAACATTGAACATTTTACTCATGTAAATGGGCGGAAGGGGTTGAGAAAATGTATAATAATTCTATATGTGCCACTGACGAACAGCGACAAGTGAACTCGTATAGGTGTGAAACGGTATGAAACGCCAAAAAAATAATACAAAATTACTTTCACTCTAGCGTTTTTGATTTTTGTCTATCACGTTTCTTGAAATTGTAAAGTTAGAATTTAATATTACTCTAAATTATTGCTGTCGGACATATAGTACCTACATAATATTATTGTACGCACAGAAAGATATATACTCGTACGTCGAATAAAAATTATTTCGAAATAGATAACTTGTTTTTTTTTTGTTTCTAATCTACGCAATGCCTATTCACTTTAAGCCGCATTTTACAACGATTCGAAATTAATAAACTTTGATATGTACGCAGAAAAAAGTTGCCACAACGCCACTGACGATCCGGTATCATATTTCGTCAACCCCAGCTACCCCAACGAAGATTGGGATTCTTCATTTTGCGACTTTCGCGTGGATATCAAGAACAGAAATGTGTGTCAACTGAGGTAAGACGATCCATTGATATAACAATTATAGAGACGGAGGGTAAGACCCCCCCCCGGGAGAGGGATTTACTCTGTAATTTTAAAATTCATATGACGCGGGCCCTATCTCTTCTACCAAGAGTCGAGACACATTCTATATGTATATAAATAAAAATATACTTTTTTTAGTAATTTTCGTTATAATAAAGAACATAACTGATTTTTTGCGATATTCATTAAATTTTCTTTCTCTTCTTACCTAGATATCATATTGTATTTATTTGCAATTAAATTTGATTTTTTCAGGGGAAAAAATACTTCACAAATTTATTTTTGGTAAATAATCAACTCGAATGTTTCCAAAAATGTAGTTTTAAAAAGAACCTACATAATAATATGTAGAATGTAGATATAATATATTTAATTATTAGTAATACCCTATCCTTCCTCTTAAAAATAAATTCTGATTGCACCACTGACCGCAGAAGCGGGTCTAATTTTACGTATACTACAAATGTCCACTAAACGATTACATTTATTATAACTATTATTATTATTATTATTCTAGATTGGACTTAGAAGAATTTTCATTAAGAGGACCGCACAAGTACTTGGGCAGTTGTCGACAAGACCGTTTAATCGTATCCACCACGTTGCCGAACGGCATTGGAATAACCGAATTGTGCGGAAACAACAGCGGCCAACACTGTACGCAATCATATTTTTCTATTTCTAACATAACACTATTATAACTTTGAAAAAAAAGTGCTGATACTGATGACGGGTATACCACTCTAGTAGGTGGGAAGTTTAGAAGAAAGGATACATTAAGTTATTTAATTTATATCCGTAAGCAACGATAAACCACTGCTTAGATAAACCACGAAAACGATTCGGAAAAATGTTCGGTTATATATGTTTTGAATGGCAGTAATTTTTAAGATCTACGTCAAAATTTAAAATGAAAACTCTTATATAAAAAAAAAAAAAAAAAAAAAAAAAAATAGTACGACTTATAATAAACCTCTTGTTAAATTTTCAAGTATTTCTGTTTAGTCTAACAATTTTATACGCAGATTATACTTACTAAATACAAATTACGTAAAAATCTCACAAAATTAAAATGATTAAAAATAGCTCAAAAATGGCTTAAATGTTTTGAACTACATCTAGAAAAAGTAAATTGAAGTTCACTGTTGAAATGCCATGTCTTTATGAATATTTTTAACGGAATTAAAACAAAAAAACATAATTGAAAATAATAAAAGCATTAGTTTCGTAAATTTGCTCGTTCTTTCTACATTTTTTCTAAATTATTATAAAAACTACTTGGAAAACCAAATAACAACTTTCTTTGACAACAATTAGATCCATAATGCAACAAAAAATGTCGTTTTTCTATCGAAGCAATATTTCTGGTAGAAAACATAAGTGACAAAACGATGGACATACTCACACGATGTTGTATGTGAAAGTTTGGGAAGGTAGAATATAGAGGAGAATTTAATTTATATCTGTACGAAATGATAAACCATTACTAACGAAAAATGATTCAGAACATAGTTTTTTGTATACATGTACGTAAATTTTCCTGTTTTTTTCAATTGTTATGAAAACCAATTGGAAAATCAAAAAGTGGCCTTCAAGTACCAACTAGATAAAATTTCCTTTCAGAAAATGTAAAAGGTGTAACACTCGATACATCGAAGCAAGATTTCTAGTAGAAATTGTGTACATTATATAAAAAAAATAATAGTTAACATCAATGTAAAACCAATACATTCCTCGCTACACTCCGAATCTGAAATAATAATCACTTCCTTAAGTACTTACCTGTAGTATGTTATTGCTCTCGATTTACAGTCCGTTCACGTGTAATTTTTATACAAAATCGTCATTGACATATTCTTAATAATTTTCTGAAACTAAAGTAGTATATAATCATGCACCGAACGCGTCCACGAAGCGATAACATAAATATTATTTTGCTCATCACGTTTTCTTTTTTTTATTAATTATTGCCAATCATCTTCTATAGTCTTCTATAGTCCATCATATTCGAATCTAATACGACATTTTAAATTCATTTCGAGTACATTATTATTAGGTATTACAGTGATGTGCACAATCGAATAGTAACTATCCAACTATTTGATAGTTAATCGCGTTAGAATTATTAAAATGATTAAAAAATATTCGAATGAATACATTCGACAGTTGTTCAAATTATCGATAGTATAAACTATTTGGAAGTGCCCACCAATAGTTATTATAAATAATAAACTGAAATTAAATTGTGTACTTATCTACAGTTATTTTCTTTTTGAAAATACACTTAAAACTCCCAACATAATTAATGTTTTTCTTATTCACAGTGTACTTCCCGGTGGACCCTAAAGCGGGCGGTTCGTCCGTATCGCTCATGATGATGACGTCACAGTCATCCAGATATTTATGGAAGGTTCGCATAACCCAAATCGACTGCCTCGCCGATCCTCAATCTGTCGGTGAGTTAAAAATTAAATTTTAATAATGTAGAAAATTTAAACCTATTTGCAAGAAATTATATTTACAACAATTATATTACTACACGATCGCAGGATTATTAAAACATTTAATAATCACATTTTTTTTTTTTTTTTGAAAGAGAAAGAACTTTATTCGCTTTTTAATAAAAAAAAAAAAATGTATAAGCATTTAAATTAATAATAGCTACGAAAACGTTTAATATAAAGGTTTTATTGTGTTCGTAACTGTTATTTACGATAAGTATTATAAACAAGAGTATACAATATAGTGGCGTCATTTGAGGGTGTAGATACTTGCAAGTCATTTACAAACGGTCCAAATTTCAACCTCATCTCAAGTTGAAATGTTTGTCGATCTCTGGCTTTTTGAGTCGGGGGGGGGGGGGAGTTTTAAAATATCGAAACAATCCATGGTCAAATCTTTCTCAGACTTTTCTACTTTCCGACCGATTTTTACGTCTTAAATTATAATACGCGCCGAAATCATGTACTTATGAATATATTTCTTTGTAAGTAGGTACCTGTATGAAAATCCGAAATACCTACATGAAATTGCTATATTTCGCCCCAACGGCTACCGATAAGTAATAATATTGCACAAAATAACGCCACTGAACATAATATTATAGCGGCGAGCTTGTCGAATTTTTTACATTTTGTTGTCGAATTTTCCCCTGAAAATAAAGACGGGTTTTCCTGCAACTAATCCTAAAGACTTCCTCTGTACCAAATGAGCTCAAACTCGGGAATAATAGTTGTTTTGTAAGCGAATTGAAGTGATAAAAGTTTAGTTTAATTTAACTAGGTTCTATTAGCTTTACATCCCTACAGACTCCCCAAATGAAACCAAGAGGATGAAATTGTATACATGCGTGATGTTAGTATTAAGGATGAGCCTTTCGGGGGTTTAAACATTCAACATCGACCCTGAATTATTTTTATGGACTAATTTCACATTTTTTTTTTTTTTGAAACTAGTATAATTTTAGTATATTTTAAAATTGTGACACACTGGCGGCGTTTAGGGGTCAGGGAACATAGAGCCCATATCATTTCCAAGATATTTTGGTTTTATTGCTCTTAGTTATCACGCGTTGTAAACGCTATAAATAGTAATATATTTTAGAAATCTGCGTAGGCACAGAAGTTATCGAATATAACCGCCGCTGTAGATAGAGTTGACCTATAGTCTGGTTTACGGGCCTGAGCGGGTAATCAGCAGATAATAGAATTTCATTACGAAGAGTATACGCAATACGTACCGAAAGGATAACGCACCCCCTCCCCCCCTATAGGATACGAATCAAATCTGCCAATATATATTGCCACTGTTATTTATTTTTAATTTTTTTTTTACAAATGTTAAATTAATAATCGAAACGGAAGAGGGAAAATTCGACTGTACAGTGACGGAGCTGTGCCACTCACGAGTATTTTATTTTTTTTTTTTTGTAACGACGCGTGTTTATTGTTATTACGGTGTAGCCGACGTGTATACGATAATACGGCAATGTACTCGCGCTGTAATGGCGACATAATATATTATTACCTCGGTCGGGATCGAAAATCGCTATTCCGAATAAACATTACAATAATACTATTATCACAATAACTCGCGTGTGCCCGTTTAGCACCTACCGGATGTCTACAATACCACACCAGCTTGAGCGGCACCATACAGAGCTTCAACTACGCGGGCGGTATGTACCAATCGGGACTAGACTACGCGATATGCATAAAACGGTCGGTGAACACTTGCCGGGTCGAATTCCAGCAGGTGACCGGCTCCACGTTCGGCATCAACTCGTTGGAAGGTCAGTAATCGTAAACCGGAATTACATTCGTGTTATCCGAATTTATTCAAACGATCGTCGTTTTTTTTTTTCCCCCGTAGTCGTAATTACGGGTACCTCCTAATAGTCTCGCGCAGTATAATATTATTAAATAACGCAGTCACGTATACGTAATGCAGACAGGGGTTAAAGTCAACAGATTCGTCTTAACTGGTCTAAACTAATAATATCCTATAAGAAAAAAAAAAAAACAATAACTAAACTTAATTATATAAAAAAGTTCCTTAGTTAAAAGTTAATGGTTAAATGTTACTTTTTTTTTGTTTAGAAAATTTTAACACAATAACTAAGTTCAGTTCAAATTATTTATTTAAATAAATAAGTAACCAGAGTTATTTTCTAACATTCGATTTTTTTTTGTTTCGACTACCTGGGTAAGTTAAAATTTATCAATAAAACAAAATAATTTATGAATCAACTTTTAATTTTTTAACCGTTTACTGCCCAAAGTGTTACAGGGAGGTTAGGGGATCCGAGCAAGCCACACGAATTAGCGTATTTAAAGTCCTTTCAATTTCTTTTGTTTTTTATAAACATAATAATTTTTATTATATTTTTGAACACCCAAGCACCCACGACCCACCCAGGTTTTTTACAAAAATATATTTGGACGGAAGGTAGAGGTTGTACACTTCCATACTCTTATAGCAAAGAAGTTTGCATACTTTCGACAGTAGGATTATTTATTTTTCATTAAAAATGTCAATATTTTATAACATTCATTTTTGGCCTTTTAGATAACTATTACTAAATGCTACATTTAATATTTTTCAGTAAATACAGCCTAAATGATAATGATATTCATATTATTGTGATGATAACGCGGACTACGCAATATTGCCGTATAAGTTATAATTTTCTAAAAGCAGGAAAACCACAAAAAATTATAAATAGCAATAATAACAATATATAGTAGTTATACTTACTAGCAATAAAATACGAATAAAACGAAAATTGTATTTTCATCTTTCTCATTGACACAAATCACTTTTGAGACTCTATCGAGTGATTTACTTTCGTCATGATTTTCACGAAATTTCGGGGGAGTTTTGAACTCCCCTCCCCCCCCAGCCCTTTTACGCGCGCCACTGTTATAATATAACGTGTACTACGTCCGCGGCACTGGGTTTATAACATTAAAATACCTGTACTGTTTCTGCAGCCTAAAACCACCAAGTACCTATGTTGTTATCATTATTATTATTATAACCTCGAGCACGTCGATTTCTATTGCCTGCCCCGCAATGCATTATTATTTCGGTCCGGACTCCTCGACTCCCGTAAATTCACTGAATATCGTGTGCGGCAATAGCGGTTTACAATATTATCGTGCGTGTTACAATATATTGCGCCGGTACGGTTAAACGCGAAACTGCGTTGCGCTGGTTTCGCCAAACTAACGGACGGATCGATTGCAACCGCGCGCGCTCGTATTATGCGATGCCGGTTTGGAAAAACTCGCGAACTTTCCACGCCAGCCGGATTGCGAACGTAAATGTGTTCACGTTTCCCTGGGGGGATGTTTTCCATCTGGAAGACCGATAATTGATGGAGTCGTCATTCGAGTTTTCAAGTCATTAGCTAAACTTCCGTAAAACCGTACAGTTCTAATTTGTCGCGGTCTACAGTCGAATAGTATTTTATTGCGTGCAGAAAAAATGTGTATAGCGCAAACGATTGCGGCTACGTAGGGCATTAACGGTTAATATTTATATATAACACATATTTATATGTATATTATAGATAATAATTTATTACCCGTTGACAATGGGCAATAAGGCAATAACTGATAAGCGCGATTTGCCGTTCTCGTCGAATGTATACAATTTCCGTGTATTATTTTTAATACATCAAACTTTCAACGAACCGGAACAATTACGCTAAATACGATTTTTTTGTTTTTTTTTGTTTTGCGAACGGAACACGGCGTGTTTAAATGCGTTCCGAGCCCCGATCGAACCGTTCCAAACGGTTTACCACCTATCCGTACGTGTCCTTTTTTTTATTTTTCGTCGATTTCCGGGTTCTCCGATTGCAGGCGACAGGGAAAAAAAAACACACGCTGTACTAATATGTCATACGACTCCGCTTGGAATCGCTTTTCGTTTGCGACGATTCGTCGTCGATTACAGCGCGCGAACTAAATCGCTACGTTCAGTGTGTTTTTTTTTTTTTTTTAATTTTCTACGAACACGTCACCGGCGCAATCAATTCGTTTATAGCGGGGGGGGAGGGGGGCGGGGCGGGCGCGACGCTCGTGTAACGCACGCAGTATCCGCAGCGTACGGTCCGACCGTGATAAACCGTCGGCGGACGGGGATAACGCGAGTTTACGAGTCCGCTCCATTACGGTGAAATAATCGGCCGTGACCTTTTGGCGGACCCGCTAAAACCGATACGCGCGAAACGGTTCGCGGATTTGTCATCGCTATTCCACCGGTACACCTTTCCGATCGGCGCGCGTTTCGCCAATTCGGACGCGAACACATTACCGATCATCAATATTCGTAATCGTAAATATCGTAAAATATTTACCGCTCGCGCGTTTCTCTCCCTCGGGCGGCCGTCGATTATCATTCCGTTCAAACCGAGACGCGCATAGCGATGAGCCGATGACTAACGTGCGAGACGCACCACAAAGTCTAATAATAACACCCGACGATGCGATACGACTGACTGCGTAGACAACGGATTTATACGCGCCTAAAATTCACGACAAAGCGCCTTAACGATGTTATAAAAGCTCTGCAAAAATTACTTGGAATATGTACAAAAGCGCAATAAAAGGCAGGTAGGTAAAACGGTTTAAAAGTTTCCCGGTCTATGGTTGTTGTCTCGGACTTATTAAAAAAAAAAAAAAATGCTCTGTGTTAATCATTTTTCAGTGTTACGAAATGTTATTTAATAGGGCCAGAACCGTTAGAATGGGGATTTCAAAACCTCTTTACCGCTTTTGCTTTTTTGACGATTTAAGCGCTTTTTTGCGGATTTTAAGTACAACACATAAATCAGTTCCCTAGGGCCTAGCACGCGAGTGTCGTATCGTTCGAGGACGACGTCCACGCTGGCGTAACGAAACGGCGAACTCGTGACGTCCTAACGAACATACCGACGCGTGATCGAAATATATTAGTGTCGGATTTTTTATTTTCCCCCCCGGCATCGGGACTTATAATACGTATACGTATAATATAACACATTCGTTTTAAAACTTGGCGGTGATTTTATTTGTTTCTTTGTTCGTGGTCACAGGAGCGTCGCTCGAGGAAGGCATTGGACGGGCGGGCGAAGTGAGCTGCGATCTCGTTACGCACGATTACCTGCACATACCCGGCGGGATGTTGGACATCGGAGAAGAAATATTGGCGGCCACGGGCAACGTGGAGGTGTACACGCCGACGGCCGAAAAGTTCTGCGGCCGGAGTTTGTCCGGTCTGGCCATCCAGGAGTTCGCCGAGAAAATCAAAATAAACGATCCGCTGGGCGCGCAGGACAACAACACGATCGCGACCCCGGTGACGTGTGAGTATAATTCAAAATCAATTGTTTGACGATATAGCTGGTGGGCGCCTAATGGTTATGACGTGCGCGGACTAGTCGAATTCGATTGTACTCTGGGGAATCTACTAATTTCTATTTCATATTAACCTGGAATTAAAATCAAATGCACAATAATGTATGTACGTTGTACCTATCACTATTGGAACATACAATGCAGAAACACAATATAAATACATGTAACTATAGTAAAAACATACAATACCGTAAAACGATAAGAATGTCCACGAAAGTGATTCAATTATCCGGTACTGCGCGATTCGAATAATTCGAATGTTCCATAACATGCGACTCGGTTCGGAATTTTCATTTTTGTTTCCAATGGTTGATACTACAAACAAATGCTCACATTAAGCGGAATACACTGTATCCGCGAGCAAATAACGAACCTAAAATACATTACGTTTTCGTGGATGCGACAATGGCTATGTGGACGGCTATGATTTGTACTTGTATACACGTACGCGCATTTATATAAATCAGTTTAAAAAAAAATACGGGAAAAATAGCAGTGATGTAATGAAATAGCAGTAGCAGTGATTTGTCTCCAGTAAAAAAATAGCTGTAACTGTTACTGTTATCGCTACTAGCGATTGCGTAAAATAGCAACTATAAAAAAAAATAGACTGCAGCCACTTACTCTTTTACTGCTACATCGCTACTAGTAATACTTTTTTAGTGATTGTTATTGTGTTATTACTATAACTATGACCCTTCATTTAGACATTTATAACATTTCTTCTACTCCCCCCCCCACGTCTTTCCATCTCAATCTTATCTCATCCGACAAATTTGATCGGTGTAATATTGACAAACAAAACTAATTAAAGGTAATTTATGGGCATGAAATTATATTTTGTAAAATCTTAATAATGTAAATTTGTATATTACCATTGTTTCAGCCTATGCTTCTGGACCGATCATTATCAGATTCCATACGGACAGTGTCACCGTGAGAGAACGAGATATCGGATTTTCGATCGCCTATCAACAACTCGGCACGGGATGCAACAAGAACAAAATCAGACGATGATTTCCAGTTCCTTTTTTGAGTGTGTTCAACAAATTTTAACGGCGATCAAATGTTTGACATAAATATTTTAAAATTTATTTATTAATATTTCCTTGTGTAAATCTATGACTAAACAAAATCGATTGTATAATTATTTAACAATAATTGTAAGTAAAATTTTATTGAATCCTTCAAACGTCGTTAGTTTTCTACTAGTACCTACCTGTACCTACCTATACGTATCTTAAATTTTTCAAAAACGGCATGCTCCACCCCATCTTACACAATAGTAACACTGCCAACTGCCAACCAATCACAGAGGTTCGACCAGAAAATAAAACCCTGCGTTCACGCAAAATGTATACAAATGACTTTCAACGTGATTTTTCAAGCGAGATTTTACTCGTTATGAAAATTAAAAACAACACAAATGATCTATGGACTATGTAACTTAACCTATAAAACTTTTTCATTTATACTTAAGTAATTTACGGTATAGACATTCATGAATTAAAAGTGACTTATTTACGATAAATAAAAAAAGGCTGTGTTCTACGGTCAGTATCGTCAAAGTAATAAATTCCGATACCTAATGAAAAGCAAAACACGGATTATAGTCTTACTTTTTTATAATATTGGTTACCAGTTTCGTGTAGTAGTCAAATGTATAATATTGTGCAGTTTTGACTAACCATAGATTGGAGATCATGAATTGGTTGAATGATACGCTTTTCTCTATCCATAGTGTTTATTACTTTAGCTCTTTGTAAGATCCCTTTTCCGTATCCAACTTATTCCGACACGATTTGTTTCAACTGCCTTGACACCTCCATTTCCTCGGTTTCCCCTCGATTTTCCGTTCCATTATTATGCGGTTTGAAATTTTCTTTTGTACTGCGTCTGTTGTGACTATCGTCACAACCCTATTTTGATAATAAAAACATATTTTGCTTTTCTTCCTCCAAGCACGTTTTTACTACTTCTTCGATATACAGACGCGATGCAGTATGATCAAGTAGAGCTTTAAGTTGAACTTCGGAGCCGGTTCCGGTTACTATCATCGATTCCTCGCCAGGGTAACATTCTTTTTTGGCTTTTATTTTTTTATAAATGAGTAACAAGGATAGATGGTCTTCCTAGAACTTTGCATTACTTCCCATTTTTTTCTGGTGAAGTCACCTTCTACGAATATCGCCAGTGCCTCTGTAAATTTCTTAACCAATAACTGCTTTTAAGCAGAAGTAATAACTTTGCGAAATTTCATAGCTCTGATTGCTGTGGAAGTACGTATTTAATTAATTTTGACACATCATTATTTCTTGATATGCGCTAACTTACACTAGCTGCATATGTTAACTTCTAGAATAGTACTTGCTCGCGTAGATCTTTAGCAGCCACTGTTATAGATACTTTAATGTGTATACCTGTAAGCAACAATAAAACATTGCTTAGAAAAAAACGATTCTGAGTTCAGTTGATAGATATGCTTTGTCAACAATATAAATGTCATTTTATATTAAAATGATTAAATAGGCTTTATATATTTTCTTTAATAATATTTGTTTAATGTTGTACCGATTTTCCAGTCTCCTTACGTCTTATCCCGGTTTTTCAAATTTAATGAGAAAACTCAAAAGAAAATCGAAAAATGACCTCTCTAAAGTACCTCGCTAGTGAAATTTCCTTTTAGAAACATTTCTATTACTAAAAATTGGAGCGAAATTGCTGGTAGAAAAGTTGTTCACAGGAAAAAAGAAGGTCGTAATATATTTTAATTAATACCTACATTTCTTATATTTTCCCGTTTTTTTTTTTGATTTTTCAAATTTGACGATAAAACTCCGAAGAAAATCGAAAAACATCCTCCCTTAAGTACCTCAACACGCCGATTTTCTTTCAGAAAATGTGCTACACGTAGAAATCCAAACTAGTCTTCTGGTAGAAAATTTGCGCAAAAATAGAAAAAAAAAAATCATCTTTGAAAACTATAAGCGTCATCGATCCACTCAGAATCTTAAATGGAACTAATAACAAAGTAAATAAATGAAAATTCAGAAAACCAATCACTCGTGATTTATAGTTAATAGATTACGACTGATTAAGCGACTAGTGGCATGAGTTCGGGAAATTTTAATAATCGTTTGATAGACTAATAAAGTAGCTTGAATCGTAGTAAGATTATTGATCTTTTTAATAGACTTGCTGATAGCGACTTTTGATCGGTTATAATATAAATACTCCTATGTGAGACGGTAAATGATCAACTCTTTTTGATCATAAACAAAACTATTATGTAGGTGTACTTATTTATTTCGTAAAATTCAACGGAGACGCGACAGAAAAAAAAAAACCCCCGTCAATTCGGAAATTATCACGTATGCCTACGATGCATAAATAAGCGTTGGGTATCGATTGTGTTCAAATTTGAATATGACGCGCGCGGCCGTCGTTTTCGGTGACCGCGGCCCAATAACCTCGGACTGATATGGCGAGGGTACCCGCGCCGCGCTCCTACGTCCGAGTCGTTCCCGGTTTGAGTTTTGACCGCGCCTACATTAAACCGTCCGTGCGACCCGGTGCGCCGCAGCCGTCAATACCTGTGAGATTCCGCGCCGTGATAGTTCCCGTCGACTCCGAATTATGAATCGAACCGGGTTTTTCGTCGTGTGCGCACCCGTCGTCGTTGTCCGTGTTTGACCGCCCGCGCCTCGCCGCTTTGACACCACCACGTGTGCGGCTCATCAGTCCGTTTTTGGATCGTCGTAGTTAGGCAGACTCTAATCGCCCGCCCGGGCACCATTCGGCCATTTATATTCGACCCCCGACCGTGCGTTGTTTACTCGAACGTATTCCCGCGAGTGTTCACACGCTACCGCCCACATTCTCGCGTGTAACCGCAATGCCCACGACTAGTTGTTCTTGTAGGTACTTACCGCCAACCGGATTCACAGCCGTTTGCCGTTTCAACGTACGAAAATCGTTCGTCACTGTTCGCACGCGAATACCGTCCGATTTGACACTCATCGCATCATTGTTCGATCTTCGATCACGCACGTTCAACAATAGCCGACGTCCGTCATTTTTCTGCAGTCGGGAACAGACCGCGCCCACCCTGGGACGCAACGCCACGATTGTCGTCGACAGCAGCTGTTATCACCGCGGTCGCCAACGACCGTGATAGCGGTCCGTCGGGCTCATCAACTTCACCGGTAACCAGGTCGTTCCTACCATTATGGGATAATTCCCATCGTTATCAATGTTTTTATTTTTGTAATTGTAAATTTATCATTATTAGTATCTTAAACGTACTGTTGTTTTATTAAGACACGAAACCATAGACATATTAAGATATGGACTGCGCCTCCCCCACACCCTACCATAAGAGCTTAGTTTAGGTAAGAAAAAATGTAATATCATAGAATAATAAACAAAAAAAGTGGCTTATTTAAATCATAGACATATAAATGCACTTAATTAATACATACAATGTTTTAAATATAGAATTTAAAATATTTTTAATAATTTCTTAGCTTTTTAAAATGTAGGTAGAGTACCTATAAAGCAATATAAAATATGAATTTAGGAAAAAAAGTGACACAAAATAATGATATGGAAAAAAAATCGTGCAATTTATTTAATTTAAAAATCACAAATATCAGTTTTAAGCATAGACATACGGATTTTTGTTCCTACATGAAGACCAATTTCTTCATGTATAGAAACAAAGTTTTGAAAAAACGACCACTTTATAGGTTTCATTCTCTCATCATGTAAAGTTTTCCAGTCACCCAATGTATTCCGACATATTTTGAGCATGTGAGCTAATAAAATATGTACTAGTATTCATGCTTAAAAATAGGTTTGGGATAAGGCATAGACAAATCAGCTCCTAAATAATTCATATAGAGTTCTAACTTGGACTCCAATTTTGTGCACTAATTCAATACATGTATTTACTAAGTTACCTTTTTCCGTTAACCCTATCCCATTTATAAGAAAGTAACCAACTGGTACTTTCCAATTTGAGTTTATATATATTTGAGCTACAAGTATAAAAACAAGAGCTTAAGTTGCTTTGAGAAGTCCATCACAACCATCAGTGCCAGTTCCATAATTTATATACCCCATCAATCTATCTCCTTTGTATGTTACACTTTCTTTGATGTGCATTTTGTCTATTATTAGTCTACATGTAAGTTGTTTGCCTTTAATTTGCATTTCTTTTAATTTAATTTAAACAGCATTCAGGGCTTCAGCCGTAAAACCTGGTTTACCATCAATACATGAAAACCACTTTTGTAGAGTACTAGGAGAGGGTAAGAAATTTTGAAAAGTTTCACGTACAAAGTTGTAGGCATTCGGTGAATAAAAATGTAAAGTCCAGGCAAATGTATGTAAATCAGGGGAGTGAGTATGCACCACCCTCATGGTTTAATTGTCTTTTTAGAAGAGCGGTTTCTGCATTTGGTAAGCATTCCTAGACAAAAAGATTTAAAAAAGGAAGAAATAACTGATATAACTAACTTTTTCATTTTTTCATTTTCTTTTTTAGCTTTTTCAACAATTCATTGTTAAATTCACATTAAATTCATCAACTAATAATAAAAAAATTGATTCATAAAAAATTACAAACAATTACCAGTTACCATACACATTGTAGTATAAAAACTAAGACTTTTAATGATACCTTCAGAAATGAAAAGTGATTTTCATTATTAAGATGATCTTAAAGGCTACGCCCCCAAACACCATTAAAATATTTATTTTTAAATGCATCATCAATGTATACACATTGTATGTACTAATATTTTAGTATATAAACAGAGTAACATACCTACTATTTTCATTATAGGTAATATTATAATTTCCATAAATGTCCTTAAGGTCATAAAGTAGTAAATAGATTTAAAAAAAATATTTGGTTTAGTAACTTCTGTTACTGGATACTATATCCATGGGAATAGTATATTTATTATTTCTATGAGTATTGAATGCATTATACATTTTCAGCCATTATGTGTTACATAATATATAATCAAATGTATCTAATTCAACATATATTTACAATAATCAGGTGTTTATATTTATGAATTAAATAATATTGTAGTATTTCATTTTAATAATATTTTTCGAATACTAGTGGAATGGAAATACTTTTCCAGTATTTCTGCAGAAGTAATTTTATTACAAACATTTCTTTCAATACTTAGTATCGATAAATCTGTGAAACTCTATTGCTCCAAACTTTCCTTTAGTCATGTTTTTAGACGACACATTGACGAGAAGCTTTTCTCACACATATCAGAACTCACTGGAATTGTTAGAGCAAATTGTAACCATTTTATGCACGCTTGGAAACGTGTGCTCTCTACAAATATGTTTAATGTTATTAAGATTGTAATTGGAAGGTAAGCAGTTCTTTATCACAAGCATTCCTGCTTTCAATAATCTCAAATTTATATTCATAACCACCTGAAATTAAAATGAATTTTCATAATATTTTTATAACCATAATATACAGAATTCACTTGTATTATGATATAACATTCTTGATAATTAGAATAGGGTTAGATACTTATTGTCACTATAGACAGTACTGCAGTAGAATATTGCACACTATAATGTGACTATGTGACTGTTTGTCATTCGAATAAACTACAACGATTACTGATTAGTGACATTATTCCATAGTCTATATAAAAAAACCATTGGGTTTTCACTTCATACTTGGTACAATACTGAAATAGCTATCAATTATTAGTCAATCTATATTATTATTATTATGATTATTTATATTATTTTTATTATTCACAAATTACCTAACGTAAAAATACATGAAATACCTACTCTTTTCACATTATTTTTTAATTTTTGGTGATTTTGAACGTTGGGTGCCAAATTGTAGCACTCAAAGTTAATTTTAGATTCTGAATGGAACAAGGAATGTATTGGTTTTACAACGATGTTTATTATTATTTTTTCATGTGAACACTTTTTCTACCAGAAAGCTTACTCCGATATTATCAAGTATAGTACTAAAAGGAAATGTTCTCTGGGTGGTACTCTGGAAAGGTCATTTTTTAAAATTCTCATTAATATTCGAGATAATGAGGAACACCTGAAAAAGATTGAAAGATTAAAAATAAGTTCTACCCTCGGGTCTACCTTGGTGTTTTATCGTACACCGTAAATCGATTGTTCGTATATACAAAATAAAATATGTTACCTATTCGCCTTTTCCCTCTCATCAATATCTATGCAGTCCGCTCTTGGCTACTTGGGCCGAAGGTCACGCACGGGATGGAAACGATTCTTGTGCAACGGGTACCGCACAGTAATAATAATCATTAATCCAAGACACGAGACTGTTTTTGAAATCCGTCCGTTTTAAAATGATATTGGCTGTTCGAACCGTTTCTGTCGGATCTTGATGTGTGTCATACGAACTCCGCAGTTAAAAAAAAAAAAAATATATAATCATAAGTTATTACTATTAACAAGTTGCTAGTAGCCACCAAGTAACTAGCGGAACTCGGAAATAAACAAATGTTACACGGTTTAGGATGTGTTGGTAACGGGACGGAAGGGGGATGGCGACGACGACTTTCGGATAATGCGCGGTGACACGTCGGAGACGATATTATTATTCGGGTGTTAACAACAATAATGTGTTTAGTCGGCGCAGTAAAGTATTGGTACCATTTTATTCCCCCAGACCGCGCCAGCGGTCGCACTGTGAGCGGTCTCCTCCGGCGGCCGGGCGATTGCTGATTGGCGGGCGTCTGCGCTCTCCGTAGTGGCTCACCGTCTTCCCAAATCTCGACGTTTGATCATTTCATTTGCTAGCACACTGCGGAACACTCGTGACGTCGTCAGCCGTATTTTTCTTTCCACGACACATTTCGTTGTTAGTATCACGAAACCACCTAAGGTATCGATAGCAACGGATTCCGGACGGTAGTTTCGTCTTTTGTCGCCGGCGCAGCGAACCAAGTGAGTACTGTAGTATTGTGTCTCGAGGTTCTCGTCCCGGCCTGCGCGCACGTTTTTTTTTTCTGTCACAATTTTTATTTTTTCGTGCGACCGGCCGCTGCGATTATATTTTCGTATCTTTCGATACGTACGTCGCCCGACATTTTGCCGGTGCGATTTTCCCGCGTAATTGCCCGTGGCCCGTCAACGAACGATGCCCGGCCCCTCCCCCGGTCGGGTAATCCCAAAGCGGTCCCGCAATACCGGCGTGAGGTTGCTGTCAGTGATGTACCCATACAATATTCTATTTGTACGTGTCATCATTTGATACCTGTCCGTAACGGATAGTGGTGCCACCAAATCGAATAGAGAATCCGAACTTGTAACTTATCTAACCTAATAATATTTGTATTTAAAAATAAAAAAAAATAAATAAATAATACGAATTATTATATGGTACATTTGTATCCGTATTAATTCCGGACGGTGCACGGTTTCTTTTATTTTTTCTGTGTATTAGTGCGACCGGCCGCGGCTTTAATATTTTTGCGTCTTCCGATGCGTACGTCGCCCGACGTTTTGCGATTTTTCCGCGTAATTGCCCGTGGCCCGTCAACGAACGAAGCCCGGCCCCTCCCCCGGTCGGGTAATCCCAAAGTGGTCCTGCAAAACCGGCGCGAGGTTTCGGTCAATTTCCACGTGTGCCGTCAACACCACCATGATGGCAAGATGTCCAGCTAAACCACTGAAGTCCCGCGATGGCGAATAGCCGCGAACGGCTCTCCGCGTTGAGTAACATATTCTTTACATCAAATAAATGGTCGACAACCCCGTTAAGTCCTCTTTAGTTGATATAAACAAATTTTAAACAGGTTTAAGTTATTGCATTTTATACTCAAATTTTCATTTGTTTTACATGGAATACCGTGTTCTTCTCCCCCCCCCCCTCGGTGTATTTGTTTCTTTATTTTCCTTCTCGTGTCGGTCAGTATTTTCTTTAATAAAAAAAAAAAAAAATTATAATCCTTTCTTTTCCCAGTATTCAATGATTTATGTTAGTCCAATGAGGTGTTTTATTTCACATCTACTCGCTGTCAATGTTCACTCAAGCAGATGACTCGATGTTTGTTGTTTCTCTCCACATTCACAGTTTCCATTGTCGGACGGACATTCCCCATCTATTTAAGTTTTCTATAGTTCTTTCCACTTGTGTTCTCAGACGGTTCAAAGTTTACCACCACATTTTCTTTAAAAGATAATATCCGGACGGTAAGGATTCTGTGGGTCCGCCTCAGACTGTGAGGGTATCCCTTCTTGCTCGCTCCTTCCATGCTTTTCAATTTGGCTGACCATGGGGGTTTCCTTTAATGGCAATGTCGTTTTCATAAAGTAGTTCTTTGATTTTATCCTGTTATAAGTTGAAGTTATTCCATACATTACATGTCCGTCGTGATTTATTTGTTTTTTTCCTTTCTATTTTAGCTGCTATTTCTCGTCTAAAAACAAATAACAATATTTCTAACAACGCGTCGGCAAAGCCAATTATATTTAGAATAATGGTCATTGGTAAAATGACGAGTACATTGCCGTGATATTATTCCATAATTTCGGCCATTCAAATATAGAAATCGGATAATCAGAACACAAATGGAAAAACCTTTAAAATGGATAATATTTATTTTGAAAATCGGTTTGCCGTAATAATTGCCCACCAAGTTACATTGTATTTCACGGTCCCCCCCCCTCATCAACCATGCGTATTTTAAACAAGGGCGCGGTGCTGTCACAGTGACGTGCACCGATCGTTGTGTGCATATTGCATACCTTTTTTTTTCTTTAGGAGCAATAATATTGTCACGACACGGCAGTTCTTTGTAGGCGGATTCAAAAAGTTCTCAATGAAAATAAGATAACGTATTAAAATGGTATTTAGAGTTTCAGATGGGTTTTGAAATAAATATAAAATCAAAACGTAATATAAGTAATAATCATATATGTTAAATATTTGTGAATTGCACATTTCACCAACTGGTTGTTAAATAAAATTAATTTAGTTAGCAAACAATATTCACTAATAATAGCGTTCGTTTTTGACTTAGCGAATGATATAATTATGTTTTCCAATAAATCACAAATTTTGAAAATTGTTGGCAGTATTATACGTTGAATCCAACCTATATAACCTATATATTGTACAGAATACAAATAGATGTCCAATAATAAAATAAACTTCTGGAAAATAAGTATACAAATTTAAATAAAAATAAATAAATACAAATTTTTTCCCATTGTAGTATTCAACCAGGTAAACAAAGAAAATGATACCATTGATCATTTAGCATTAATTGCTAAAAATGTACACAATACAGCATACATTAAGTGATGATATTATTTGTAGATGGAATACTTTTACATCAGCTACATTAGAATCTATTGAAGAAAGAATGTCTTCTTGTTTGGTAAGTAGGCTTTAGAACTTTTTAGGGATTCAACTAGTAGGATGATGTACACTCATATAATATATATATATATATA